TGCTTTCAAACCACTGTGAGAAGACGATCTTAGCAAGAAACTGGACGGTACCTGGCATCAGCCGCACGTCCTGGGACCTGAACTAACCTAATGTATGCAATTATGGGTATGGATGTGTGCATGTTTGTGTATGATTGAACGTATTCGTGGCCGTAGGTACAAGCATGTCGGGTGGTATGAAAAATGTGACGCGTAATTACGGGCGAGGGTAATCAAGAGTAGGCTAAGGTGACTTGAGTCTGTCTTTTTCGTGTTGCATGCTCATACCAGTCCTTTCCGGATAAACGTTCAAGTGGCCCCTACTAGATCGGACTTAAAAAATACCGCTAAGTGAGGCGAGAATTTCAAAGGCCGTCTAAGCGCATCGAGAACACTGGAGCTCAATTGCGCAAGAAACTGGACGCTCGTTTGGCATCCGCCGTTAGTCCTGTGACCTGACCTGTTATTTAGGAAATAAAATGGAGAGAGAGAGACTGTTGATGGTCCCATGGATGGGAAAAGATGGAAACAGATACAATAATGGATTTGGACGAACAGGTTTGCGAGTTGGAGCACCTGTCAATGTACTGTATTCCATTGTACGTTGTGACACAGTTGACTTCTGTGAGGTCTCATTCGATGGCTTCAAGGGCTTCTATCAGCAATAAAATGATTTGGGTTATTTAATCGTTGGTCGCTCTGATGTGGAACTGACTACACGCTAGACACCTAACCTTAAAAAACCTTGTAGATGAGGCAGGGTGTTTCTCAACACGGTCCGGAATGAGGACACATGTAGTCAAAACGGTGGATACAGCCGCTTCCATTGCGGGTATAGCCTCCAAGCTTTCGTCAGGCTCAAGCCAACCGAATCTGAAATGGAAAGGTGGCATTCGACAGTCTGCGGTGGAACCCAGCTGAGAAAGGGATTGGGAGAAATATAGCAGAAGCAAACGACTGTAATCAGTCACCACGTTTCTATAATATTAGCAGAAATAGGTTGTTTTACACAGATATACATACAAAACTCGACCCGTAAACTGGTAGGTTATTGGTTGGAAATTGGACACTGCTGCCTGCTCAGCATGCGCCACGGAGGTGAACTAAATGAGAATCCTAGTCGTTCTCCTGCTTACTGGCTGGACACCCTAGCATTACCCGTCCATCAAACCCCAATGCATACACAAAATAAAAATAATTTGGTACTGCATCGGTCATCGCGCAGGATAATCAGGAGCGCGCTGCCCATTGCACCGAGCGGGGTGGGTAGTGATAAGTGGGCTACTGCTCAGATATCCCAACCTTTGTTTAATTCTTTATCTTCAGTACCCAGCCCTCTCCTTTTTCCCCTTCTTCCGACCTGTAATAGTCCCTTAAGCAACTTGGATGTCGCTCGCCAGAAGTCGTTCTCAACTATCACTGTATGTAATGTATCTCGTCAATCACTGAATCTGGGGGCCTTCAAACTGACGATCTTGATGCAGATAGGTCAAAAAGCTTGTCTGGCACGTTCAGTGAAATCCTTGGGGATCGATATTTGCTGCATGTCGGAGACTCGTATCCAGGATCATACTACTGTAAGCCGCTTGAGCGCACCAGATTTGTCTTCGAAATATGATCTTCGCACATCAGGTGACGACGAAGCCCATTCAATGAATCATCGCGGGGTAAATATTGTACTCAGCAACAAGGCGGAGTCCTCTCTTATTGACTGGATTCCCGTCAACATTCGTTCATGTACAGTGCGTTTCCAGGGTTCAATCAGCGTCCGGAAGGGAAGCAACACCAAAAGGTGTTTGTTCTTCGTATCAGCATATGTACCGACCATTTGTAGTTTTGATATCCTAAAGGACGCTTTCTACGACGAACTCATTCGGATGAGTCGAAGCTCCGAGATAGTTGTACTTGCAGGTGACTTCAACGCGCAGGTTGGAAAACTGGACGCATCAGAAGATTGTCTAGGCGGTAGTTGTACTCTGTCCAGCCAACGAACAGATAACGGCGATCGACTTTTTCTTTTCTGCGCAGACCACCGTCCGTTCCTATCAAGCACCAACTTCCGATACGGCTCTCAACGGACGGCAACGTGGCGCTCCAGTTCAACTTATACGTTAATTCAAATCGACCACATAGCAGTAAGTTACCGTTGGATCAGTGCAAAATCGTTGAGTCTGCATTGGTTTTGATGCAGTTCACTCTTCCGTTGACTGATCGACGAAAAAACGAGCAAACTCGTATAGTTCATCATCGACTATCTGTTCCGGCTGTTCGTGCACGCTATGAGTCAAAACCAGTGCGTGAGCTAAGCGTGCCCCAACGTGATGATTTAAATGAACAGTGGGATCAGATTAGGTGAGAACGCACCAAGTGGAGTCCAAAACGTAGGTATTGAATGGTCACCTTGAGAAAAGCTCTACGATTTAGATTACGCCGATGACGTTGTCTGTCTGTTCGAATGTATGGAGGACGCGCAAAGCGCACTTGATAAATTAACAAGTGCAGCATATGTGTTTTGCACCTTCAAAGTGATGCTGCAGGACTGGGTGTCGCTTATTCTCGATCTGATTGGCCAGGATTTAGTTGTGGAGATAACCACCCGCATTTCCAGGGCTCTATCAGCATAAGTAGGACTGAAACACTTTTGGCGCAGACGCGACGTTTCACCGAAATTGAAAGGTCATGTATATTGTGCTAGCGTTCTTTCAGTCTTGCTTTATTGTTATAAGACCTTGAATTTGGGATTAGAAGATATCCGTCGATTGGAAGTTGTTAATTATCGGTGTTTACGTAGCTAAGCCCACATTGAATGGTGCGAACGCGTTAGTAACATAGAGATAAGCCGTCGTGTGTTTGGGAGTCTGTCAGGTAAAAACCTGCTAGCACACCGAATTCAGATCAGTAGACTTCGTTGGCTAGGGCACGTGTTGCGCATATCTTTACTAAGCCTGTTATACGCTCGCAACATTGTGTGCGGTTTATTCACCGCAAAAACTCAAAAGCAAGGACAGTTGCAGGAAACGTATCCATTGGTTCACTGGTTTGTGCCTGCATAATGATGTCGTTCCTTATTTTTGGTTGCTGTTCCTAAAACGAGATTCATAAGTGGCGAACGAAAAGGCTGTGATGCTTCTTGTTTGATAGATTCCATCACCTGTCAATCAAGAGCACTGATTGAGGTATCACATGGATTCATTTTGCCGCCACTTGTCAGTTCCCTTCGCCTTCAATTAAACTGACTCATGAATTACCAGTCTTATTTGTTTTCTGCACCTTGTGAAGGGTGTGAGTCTAAACTGCTATTTTTTTATTTTTGCAGTGACTAAAACACACATACCTTGGTCATGTCACAGGAATCGATCGCATACAGTCCGGCAGCGACACAGCACAATCTGAATCTGGTTAGCTACTGTCGCACATCGGTGGCTGCGTTATCCGGTTGCACAGCTGGTATTCTAGGTTTAACAGGTAACTGCATTGCCTTTGTTTGCAAACGAACTTACAGGTCTGATGGGTTTCCTGTTCTATTTCCTTGCACATGGCTTTCTATCCTTGTTATTGGTGAACAAAGCCGGGTCATCGTGGAACAAGTATTTTCTCCAACGCTCGAGTATAACATGCAACGGAATCTGGGGTGAATTGACCACATACATCTTGTTTTGGACTTTCATTTACGGAATGGTCCATGTGTATTGATCCACTAGATTCTACGAACCTGACTGTGATGGAAAGGGATTGTCTACTTGTATGAGATCAATAAAAGTAATTAATTTTTTCAAAATTTCTGG